CCGTATGAAAATCTTCAATCTTTGGAGATTCCGGTATGGAAATGGGATCACATTACAATGGTCCCAGATGTAAAAATTGCTACATATAAAAGTAGCTACAAACTCTTTGTTCACATACAGTACATGACTTGTATATAACACATTCTCAAGTACATGCACATATTCAACTTCCCAAAATTCACAAATGTAAAGCAATAATAATCCCCTTTCACATCTTCTCTTTCCCTTTACCTTCCACCAGTGTCCGTCCTATAGTGTACATTTTTAAACACAAAAGGTGGAGTAGACCAAAAGGTCTAGTGAGTGATTCCCTTATTTGCAATTACATGGTGAAAATTACTAAAACACTTTTAGAAAGTCCATATTTGAATTTATAACAAATAAACATTATTTTATTTTAACAAACCTCTTTTGTTGCATCATATAGATGAGACAACTTCAGTTCATTGCATCAAAGCCCATGAAGTACCAATGCTATCGCAACACTATATTACATACTAACTTGTTGCATCTCATTGATGTGATCACATTTTTGTCGCATCATACATATGCGATAACCCCACTTGTCGCATCTCAAGGATGCGATAACATACTTTCCTCGCATCACATTGATGCAATAACCATCATTTCTCGCACCACACTAGTGCGATAAAATTACTCCTCACATCACAAGGATGCGATAATACTATCTAATCGCATCAAAAAGATGCGATAAACCAAAATCATTGCATCATACAGATGCGATAACATTTTTCCACATGATCAAAATCCCATTTTTAACATACAATTGATTATGTCACCCTTATCCCAATATACGTCTCTCCTGGTTTTGCCATCCTTATATTAGAATACACCTCTGTAGATTATGTCACCCTTATTCCAAACAGTTAGAAACAACATATCAAATCCCAATATTATGCTAAAAATACCATATAATCAATTAAAACATCCCACATATGAAAACAGGAAACCATACGGTTTCTTCACCAAAAGAAAATCAAGTAATGTTTTTAAAATAAAACTCACCTTATAAACACAGTAGATTGAAGTCCTTAAACATCAATCAAATAATCAGATAATCACGTATCAACTTCATCTTCTTCTCTTATGTTTTGATCGAACCCAGTGACCAAGAACACTCTCACCAACTTTCTCTTTTTATTATTATCTCTTCCAAAGTAATCAAAGAAATAAAAGAAAATCACACACACAACGCGCGTGCGTGCACACAAACACACACACACACACATATATATTTAATGAAAGAGGCGGTAGAGAATTTGAGATATTTTTAAAACATTTTCAAAATACACCCTTCAACTTTCAACATATTATAACATCCACCCCAAACTTTCAATTCAAGTAACTCAGTTATCACAAAACATTTGCTAGTATTGAAGACTGACTCAATCTCCTTTAACCAGCACATAACTTTTATCGGATCTCTTTCACCAGAAAAAGTCGAAGGTTTGCATGTTAGAAACATTTTAATGTCACATCGTCTTTCATTAGTAGTATGAAGTTGAGGGTTTATTTCAACTCTTTCAGTTTCCATACGGGCAAGACTTCTCAATATAGAAGTTAGGGTATTTTATAGCTTACCCATTTCCTCAGCAAACATATCATGGGCAACGTACTCTGGATGATGAGGTTGATCGCGACTCACGAATCTGGTTCTTTCTTGTTCCTCATCATCACTTCCTTGAATTGACTCCCCTTGATCAGGATAAATCTCAGGAAGAACACTTCTACCTCTTCCTCGACCTCTGTCTTTGCCTCTGCGTCTACCCGACCAGTAGGTAGGTTCTATTGAACATTCTTGGGGGAACTATCTCTTTCCTCCAGATTAATCAGTGCAATCCTCTCGGACCTTCTCGAATTACTTTCCATTTGATAGTTCATAAGAATTTAATATTCACATATCACATTCCCAAATACAATAACATATTCAAGAACAAATATGTACATGCAAACCCAGGATTGCATTGGACAGTTGTAATTTGAATTTACCTTACATATCATTCTTTTAACCTATTATATTTATTCCCAAAGGCTCTACAATTGTCACGGACCCTTAATTATACAAATAATATAGTTTAAGTCTAGCCATCATGTTGAATACCTAAATCTCTTAAAATCAGGCTTTGATACCAAACTTGTAGCACCCTAACTCCTATTTTTATAAAACACATATTCCATATAGCATGAAATACAAATATTACACACCGGTCCCAATATATATAAATTGATACACACAAAGGTAGCTACAAACCTTTTGCTTATATAAAGTACATGACTTGAATATATAACACATTCTCAAGTACATGCATAAAGTTAGCTTCCCAAAATCCATAGATGTAAAACATTAACGAATCCTTTCACATCTTCCCTCTCCCTTTACTTTCCACATGTGCTCGACTTATAATGCACATTTTTGAAAACAAAATGAGGGTTAGACCATAAGGTGTAGTGAGTAATCCCTTTGATTGCTATTACAAGGTGAAAATCACTAAGACACTTTTGGGAAAGTCAATCTTACGGAAATAACATTTATTGCATCAAACCTCTTTTTGTCGCATCATATAGATGGAAAATCCCCATTTCATCGCATCATAATAACACCCTTTTATCGCATTAACAAAAATATACCAAACTTGTCGCATACCATTGATGCAATAACATAGTCCTCGTATCATTCAAATGTGATCACCTCTTTTTGTCGCATCACATTGATGCAATAACCCCAATTTCTCGCATCACAAGGATGCGATAACTTTCCCTTGTCGCACCTCAAGGATGCGATAAAAATAATACTTGAGTCTGACCCAATGTCATCGCATTAGACATATGCGATAAAATCAATCCTATCGCATCATAAAGATGTGAAAACAATAACACATGAACAAAAGATCATCATTTCTAGAAATTGGTTATGCCACATTTATCCCAGTATGTCCAGCTCCTGATTATGTCACCCTTATTACAAAATGTATTCAACTCCTGATTTTGCTACCCTTATTACCAAATATACCCAGCTCCTAATTATGTCACCCTTATTATCAAATATACCCAACTCTTGATTATGTCACCCTTATTACATCGGTTGATAATAACATATCAAAACCCAAATTATGTTAATAGATAATATATAATCACATTCAAAAACACCCAAGTATGAACCCGTACGGTTCCATATAGAATATTTCAAATAAAGCTTTGAAATAAAAATCACCTTACAAACACAAGTAAAGGATGACATTTAAAGCAACAATTAATCAAATAAAATCACGTAGTTTTCTTCTTTTCTTTCTTCTGTTTGTTCGATCCCAATGTAACCATAAAACAAACTTTCTCACCGATTTCTTACTTTCCTTCTTATCTTTTAAAAAACAAGATAATAAGAGGAATATACATATATATATATATATATGTGTGTGTGTGTGTGTATATATATATACGTATTTTCTAAAGAGACGATGGAACAAAAAGATTTAAAAAGTGAAATTTCTAAAACACACCCCTCAACTTTTCAAACCAAGTTTAGAACAACCCCTCAAACTTTTTATCAAATAAATTGGTTATCACATTCAAACTGCTTCAAATCGACCAATGGAGCCCATGTGCAACCCTAGTTATCATACATTCTATTTTTGTTCATAAAGTTTATATGTCTCCTTAGTTGCATCAAAGACATAATATGTTTCCTTAATCATATGAAGAGGTCATTTTACCAAACACTTATTCGGTCACCTATCTTACTAGATGAACATCGCAAAAGACCAAAAGTCTTATCCTGGTAAGAGCCTAAGAAGTATGGTAAGGACCGAGAATCATACCTGGTAAGTGAGGGTAGAGACTCTTACCCGATTAGCGCTTACCAGATATGTGACAATTACCAATAACTTATTTTGATGGTCGAGAATGTTACCTTATAAGGTAAGTGATCATAATGACTCTTACACATAAGTACCATGTAAGTCCTTACCAAGAGAGTTCACTTGATAAATTTTTGGTAAACAGCCTCAAAATACCTTGAATTTATAGATGGAATTAAAAATAATTGATATTTTGTTGATGTACGCAAGTAAAAAAGAAATGAAAATTAGTTCTATCTTTTTATATTTTGTCAAATTAAATTAAATTACAGCTGATTTTGTTTTTGTGTTAACAACTATTGTTGACTTTCAATATCGGAAAACTGAAAAGGTTGACTATATTCATAAACGTATCTGAGCTGGACCTGTAAATGCAACAAATTTTGAGAATCACGTCATCAGGTTATTAAACTTTCAACACGTGTCTTTCATATCTATACTGACCCACACCCTCTCTTTAACCGCTTTAAAGTGCTCCTCGGAGAGTAAACCCCACCAACGTTACAAAAAATGCGAAGATATTCCTCGGATTTTCACTAAACTTTCATCGTTTTTCACAAGCAACAACTAATTTTTCAAGATTTTCATATAAACCCTCACTACAGACATTTGGTAACCCTAACATAACTGAACCAAAAAAAAAGTTACTATTATGTTTAGCAATCATGTCATTGGTATCACTTATGTCCGATTTTATCAAGTTATCAAACATAAATTATCAATAACAGTTACAAAGTTAACACTGTCTTCCTCACTCAAATTGGTACCAAATAAACAGATATTCCAGGTTTAAAAAAGTGTCGGTTCGGATTGTAAGCATGCACACAAATGAAATCCCGAAAATGAAAATGCTAACTAATTAAACCTCCCAAATGATTAGATTGTATGTGGGCATTTTTGTAGAGAAAACAAAAGTTAAGGGTCTCAAATGCAAATAATTCCCACTATTAATCAAACTCAATTTGGTAAGAATCTAACTTCACTCAAGTTAATTAACCTTGCACCCCCACCCTTAAAATCTCTGGTTTTTTCATCACTTTTCTTAGTAATCCTCTTCAGAGGCATTCTCTCTCTCTAAAAACCCACCTTATTTTCTCTCTCTAAAATATCAATTGATGAAGAAAAAGGTTTAAAAATGAAGAGAAAACTATCACCCTCTTCATCGTCATCATCACCATCTTCATCGTCATCTTCATGCATCATTGAACAGCCTCTGACCATCCCTAAAATCAAGAACAAGAAGAAACCCCCAACAACTTCTGCAGAAACTGCTGTTCGCAGAAGCTCCAAATTCAGAGGTGTTACCAGGTAATAAATTAATTCTTCGAAAAAGCTCATAATTCTGATGATTTTTAACCCACAAAAATCTTGATTTTTTTTTTTTTGAATTTGTAATAATTTCTAATAATTTGATTGCATGCATGTGAATGAAACAGGCATCGATGCACTGGAAGATTTGAAGCACATCTGTGGGATAAGAGTTCATGGAACATTGCCAAAAAGAAGAAAGGAAAACAAAGTCTGCCTTTCTTTTCTTTCTTTTATATATATATATATATATATATATAGGGGCTTAATCAAATGAGAACTGAATTGTTTGTGGTAACTGTAAGAACCAATCTCAACCACATATTATAATAATCAATGGGTAAGATTAAAAAGAATCTTAATTAATGTATTTCTATAAATAAATTACTGTCATTTAATGACAATATATGAACAAGGGCAAGATGGTCATTTTGTACATTAATATTCTTGTTCAATTGGAAATTTGGAATCCAAATATAGTGAAGATACTTTC